ATCACCCTGGAACTAGATGGTAGAAAGCTTGAAGGAGTAAAGTCGCAAACTTAGTTTGTTTGTTTACAGAAAAAAAAATAAAAATTAAATGCGAACTATGAAGCGAACTGAGGACGAGGGGGCATTTCGCACTTTCGCTGCTTCACTAGTTCCGGCTCACAAGTCCACTCTGGTAAAACCTGTGAATTCTTGCTAGGCTGGAGCAAGCTCATCGAGCCGCAATAGTAAAACCTGTCAACTCTTTGAACTCTCTAGCTCTCTACATGGCTCGACACGTCGCTGAGAAGCAGCAAAAGCGCAAAATGCCCCTCGCCGCCGAACTGCCGCGAAGCCGAAGTTGACGCCAACCTGAGGAATCAACCCCAACAGATTTTTGACACGAAAAGCGCGGACATCAAGTATCTGTTCGCTGTAGCCAATCTCCTGAAAAGAATAAAAACGGTGAAATGAAAAATGTTTGAACATGCGCTTTTCATGTAGAAGTAATCAACTCCCAAGGCCGTTCTGCAGATATAACTAATTCACCTGGAGGTATTGCTTAAGAAGTTGACGTCCTTGTTTCCAACCCAACGCACTTCCTCCTTCTGCTGCATAAGCATCGACTTCATTAGGAACAGTTGCTTCTGAACAGCCACGAATCGAACGATTCCAAGGAAAATTTACCCCAGAAGATTCGGGGCAGCTCTTACCATTTGCAGCTTCATTTTCCGTTTCTTCATATTCAGGGGGATCTTCGCCATTGTGTGTTAATCGATAATTCTTAGCTCTAAAAAAGCCTCCATCTACACCCTCCATTGACAAAAGAGAGGAAATAATGAGCTTACCTTTCTTGTTTAAGACAGTACTCTAACATTTTTATTCTCCGAATCAAATCAGCTTTCAAATTCTCCTGTCCTTTCCGTTCTCCTTGCAAAAAGCTTATTCGTGCCTGAAACAGTTGCAATGCCTAACACTGTTCTAACCAGAATATCTTTTAAGAACAAAAGAAAAGGGCCCTGCCTATACCTGCATTTCTGCTCGTTCCATTTCCCATTTTGCCTTTTCCATTTCATATTTGCTCCATTCGTGTTGCAAGAAGTGCAGCACGCCATGCATCGTGTACGGTGGACGCCGATTCTTAAACAATTTTCATCTACAAAACTCAAAATCTACATGAGTTGAGACGTCATGTATCCGAACCCTCGAAACTAGGACTCATGCCTTCTTCATATGCACAGGACTGTATGGAAACGGGCGGCGTCAGTACTGGGGCGTCTCAAAAGTTCGTTTCATTTTCGAACGTTTCTTCACTTCTTCTTTCCCTTCTTCCCAATGGGCGCAGAAACCTACCGCTTCGAAAACCTTTGTAGGGAGGCGAGACGCGACCTCTTCTCGGTGATCAAGTACAGTTCCCACTTTGCTTTACCCATTACCTATTTGCTCCATCGATGTTGTAGAAGTACCACCCCCAATGGGACACTTCCAGTGATGCCGTACCATGAGTCCAATTAACCGTGAACCGGGAATACGTAACTAGCGGGTGGGGAGGGAAGGCGGCGCCGCATCCATTTCTCCTCTCTCAGGCAAGGTTCGCACCTAGCAGGGCGCAGTCGACTAGACTCGCAATATACAGTTGGACGGAGGTGATATAGTAAACAGGATGTCGCTCGTTCCTCATTCACCCACCACCACTCAAATGCATTTGTAGCAGACAAAAAAGGCTTGTGTCGGCATCCTGGTGCTCCTGCTAAGCGACTGGTGAGTTGGAATAAAATATAAGAGGACAAATACAAGAATATAACCAGCCATATTTCCTCTAGTTGTCTTTAATGTCATCTTGTGCCTGGCTGTGAAGCAACAGGCAATTACAGTCTTGTTTGCTGCGGATGAAGGGGCACGTCAGGCGGGATGAACGGGGTACCAAACTTTTTTCCTCCACAGTTGTTGAAGCTGGTAAGCAGCAATTGTTGCTGGAAAAGCTGATACAAATGACATGACGCAGTCTTGTCGCTTGTTCGCTTCAACAGCTAGTGGACAACTAGTTTGGCGCCGCGCCAAAACCTCCCGCCAGACGCCCCATCACCTGCTGCGAACTAGACATAAAGACGGTGAAATCATAACAAAAGCTATCCGAACAAAATCGAAACGCTCAGGGGATTTCCCTGCCGTACCTGCTCATCCTTTTGATCGTTCTGCTGCTGCTGTGCTACACCATTACCGGACTGACCATCCTCAGCCATGCCAACGACCATCCCAAACCTGGCAGGCTTAAATGTAAGAGTCTGATTCCCTCTCAGAAACACATAATACGAAACTTCGAGGTGGGCGATTACAGAGCAGTTTAGCAGCCTAATGATCAACAACGAAACAAAGCAAATTTATTTACGAAAAGAAACTGGAAGACCTCTAGGTTTGCGAAATTATCACTTTGAAGATTTTTGTCAGTTATAAGCTTTTGCGGTGAAGTTTTTGAACTTTCGCGGCTGCTATTTAACTTCAATATGACGTGAAACGTTCACAGTAATGCAGTGTAGAGGAAACAGTACCACAAACGCTGTGAAACGAAAGCAGATGTTACAAAAGGAATTACGAACGCTGTAAAACCATAATATGAAGCCATCGAGCCAAATACAAGGATTAATATGACGAAGCACCGAGACATGAGAGTATGGTGAAGAAATAAATTAAAGGTAGATCTCTTGTGGAACTCAAAACGAACAAGCTGCAAACAAAGCAATCTCTTGAAGTGCCACCTCATGGTGCTTAATGCTTCGACAAAGAGGAACAGGTAAAAGTTCCAAAACAATGTTGCTTTCAGAGATCTGAAGCGAAAAGTGAAAAGGACCCCACTCGTAAAACTCGGCGGTACAGCGAGTGACGTCAGTGGCACTGAGTGCCTTTCGAAGCGCAGCGGTCGAGGGCGCGAATTCTCAAGAGGTCAGCGTTGTTGCACCAGAGCGCGGAATATTCCATTGGTGCCCTGTAATTTGAAATCGAACCTCTGATATTTATCATGGTTTTAACGCATTTTGAATCACAGTGTTTGTCTTATAATATGTGCTTCTCCTTGGAGGTCTCCATATCCCCTTAGTTACTCTATCACTTGTTCCCTTATATCTATCGTGTGCCCTTCTTCGAAGCGAAGTCGCTGCGGTGCTCGCATTTCACAGCATTTTTTCGTACGGTTTCTCTATCTTTCAAGTAGAACGTCATAGATATGTTTTGTAGAATCAAGTACGAAAAAAAACTATGACGATTCTCCGGCGGGAATTGGTTATCTCCCCCATTTTTCAAAAAGTATTTTGCCGATCTTTTTATTTCGACAAAACGAGACTATCCGCTCTTTGTTTTCGTTGTAGCACTTGGCGTTCCTTACTGGAATTAGTCTTTTGTAGCTATTACACGTACAGATAGTAAATGCATAAAGACTAAAGTAGACTGAGAAATATTCCACTGAACAAGACTTTCTTTTGTATAAGCGGTTGGAACCGCAGTCAAGCTCTGCTCTGATTCGGCTTTGTCCGTCTAATCACCTTCGTGAAGAGCCTGAAAAGGAAAGCCAAAGAAATGTCACCAAGCCAAAATATATCATTGAGTTCCACTTCAAAGTTAACAGTTGCTCATTTTAGGCCCCCGCGCGCTCCTGGTAGGCGGACCGTCTGTCACTACACCATCTCAGCTTTACCCCTTGCTCGCTATATTTTACATTTCATACAGAAAAATAAAATACTGCAATGAAGCGTACTACATTCATTCTGATTGCTTCCCTGTCATTAATAGCATACAGTTGTTTAAAACGTCTCCCACGTAACAAAGGTAGTACAACTTGGGTGCAGCGGGTGTTTTCTTTGTTTTCAGTCGACAACTACGCCTGTCGCTGTGGTATACCTTTATCTTCATATTCCACATTTGTTCGCCCTAAATTCTTTGAATTCAACCAGAAAGCTTGCTTCGTTGCTTTGGATTGCTTGTGGAACCTTGTAGGTTGCGGCAATATGCGAAACCATAGTCTCGTTCGCTGGGATGATGGGGTCAGCGCGGCTACGTTTGGCGCGACGGCAACTCGTTTTTTTTTCTTTCAGTAAGCGACAACCAGGTATCATATAATAACAATCGTTTTCCGTCAGTTGTTGTCACTTATCCTCTTCAGAAGCTGGTGGAGAACGGGCTGGCAGCCGCGCTGACACGCCCCATAATCTGTAGCGAAAGAGACTGTAGAAGGTAGTTCCTTAACCCATTGTGGCACTTCCACGTTAATACGTTTCGGTCCTGGATTAATGCCACTCACGCGATGTCTGCGAACTCCGTATATAACTTCTTTATTACGCAAAAGCACGAACAAGGCTGCGTTCATACTTTGCGCCATAGTACGCCAGCGAAGGAGCATGTCGCCAGCGATTGGGAAAGTATTGGTATTGATTGAGCGTTTCGAGCGTCCGCCAGAGTATGACAGCGTACAGCAGCGTTTCGAGCGATTAGGAAAGTATAGCTATCGATTCGCGGGCGCCAACCTTTCTGACCAAATTTGCCAGCAAGAACGCTGACATAGGCTGGCGTAAGCTAGATCGCTAACTATACTTCCTCAGCCGTTGGCGCTGACAACGCTCGAAAGGCTGACGCTGACGCAAAGTATGAACGCAACCTTTCCCATCTTTCCAGACCGCGGCGGTCACCATACACTCGCAACATCTGAGTGCGGCCGCACGGTCAGCGTGAAATTCAGTTCTTTTCATACCCTGTAACGACAATGTAGTTTATGTGAAACGTTCATGAGTGATGTCTGTGAAACATTTAGTCAATGAATTTTTCGGAAGAGTGATTCAAAGAAGTCATTCTGTTTATGTTTTGCACGTGCCCTTCAACGAAAACTGGACAAATTGATGTGCCCTTCCTCTCTGTGCACATCACCAAGGGAAGGGAGAATGATGCATTGTATAGCAGCTGCCAAGTCCGACTTTCTATGAACCTCGGCATTTCCTTTATTTACTGGATTCTTCTTGGAACTGTCCACGAGGTTGTTGTACACCTTTGTCGTCTGACGTTTCGGCGAAGTCTGAAAGAGCTCAACCGAGTTGCGGTTATCCGAATAAGCATCTATCATACCCTTCAGTCTTTCGACGTCATTCAATCCAATACGAAATGAAATAGAGAAATAATCAAAACTACCTCAATCAGATCCACTGGATCAAATGACGACCGCCCCTGTGATGGAAATACTCGAAGTGAACCTGTCCAAAGTCCGGCTGAGTGCTAATCTTATACTAGAATCAGGAAAGGTGTCATTTGAAGATTCTTCAGCCGCCCGCACTTGAAAATGAATTGCACATTAATTGGTACGAAGCTTTTCTAGTCCATATAAGGGGAAAGTTCAGAAGACAACTTGCATTTAGAAGGAGCACTGTCCGAGCTACACCGTTGCAAAGGCAGGGCCATCCAGATCTATTGCATGAAGTTCGAGCCAGATCCTATTGTATGAAGTTCGACAAGAACTTTTTTAGAGAGACGTGTGGACTGTACTGTTATATCTAAAGGCTGACTGTGCGCACGAATTTTTCCTTCTGGCCGAAGAATCGTTCCAGATCTCGCTGCTCTGTGTGAGAATTAAGCGGGAAACTAGTTTCACCGATTGTCCGGTAGTGTCAGAGCGAGCGAGCTGACTAAACAACATCTCGTGCCTACTTATCCAGTCTCAGTCTACCACAAAGCCTGTGAGGGCAGGCGTTAAAAGCCTAGTTCCGATTTGAACCAGAGGCTAGAAAACAGCGCTAATGATAACCGCTCCTTTTGCTTCAATTTGCAAATCCTTACCAGGTGCGGCCTAGGAATTTCCGGCTCTTCTACTTGTTAACATCTGCCACTTGCTCGCGATTAGCCGTTAATCTTGACTCGTTAGACAAACTTCATCGTCAGGTTGTGGCGTGGAATTGGCTCGCGTTTAGGGTACACTCCTTATCACTGAGACGGAGTTGGCGTGGCATTTGGGCATTGCATAGAATGGGTTACCCATTAGGATATTTCAACTGAGACAACTGTCATGTTATTCTGCGTTGGACAAAGGCATGACAATAATTGTCTCAAAATGAAAACACCTCAACAAAAGTGCAGCTATCGCTACGTAGTTAGTGTACAGGAACCGTGCCTACTGCATCCAAGAATTTCGATTGTATTCACAAAGGAATCATTTGTGAGCCTTCTGTCTCTACTACGGGAAAACTGTAACTTCAATATGGACTGTGACTCTTGCTTTCGTCTGTAGAAAAATCCAAGCTTATTTATGGTCTGTGTGGTTTGTGCGACAGTATCAAACGCGCACCATGGTTTGGGCTAATGCCGTTTGGACTCCAGCAATTTCGGCACCGAGCTCATTTTTAAATTGCCTAAGTCACCAAACCCGCTGAAAACATGTACACAAGGGTTATTTACCATCGTGATTACAATTATGACACTCATTCTTGGCGCTGGCGCCAAGGGATGACACTACGATTACCTCTTGGGCTCAGCCTTAGCGGAGCGCAGATAATCGTAGTGTCATCCATTAGCGCCAGCGGCAAGAGTGAATGTCATATTCCTTACGTTATCAGTGTTTTACCTATTGCTGGGTTTCGTTATGTTTTTTTTTTGTTGTTCTTTACATGTTGTGTTGACATGTCCAATAAAATAAAAAATAAAATAAATATTCGTAATCATGATGTTGAACTACCCCTATACAAGTTTTTAGCGGACTTGGTAACTTTAGACAATTTTTGAAATAATGCGGTGCACGAAAATTGGACGGCATTAGCCCTATGGTTTCTCACTGCGCTTAATAGTTCAGTGCACGTGTAGCACAATGGTTCCTATCTCACGTCGTCATCTCACCGTGTCTGCGACGCGAATCGATCAAAGAGTAACTTTCAAATGATGGGCTCAATACCTTGACATGAGGGCTACCGGCTGTTGAGGCTCCGACATATCAGCGCCCCGAGCCAGACATAGTCACTTTCCATAGACCACCTTCACCCTTAATTTTGAAGGGCGAAGATGGTGTAATGGAAAGTGACGCTGCTGTCCACATGTACGGTTCGGGATCCAATCGTCGCATCGTGCTGCCATATCGACGTCACACCACGGGCCTACTCCACAGGGGGCATGGCCGAGCTCCGTATGAGACTAGTCCTAGAAGGAAAGAAAGTACGACGAAGATACCTTCAAATAGTCGGGTTTGTTCCCGCAACTCATTGGATAGGGCAGTCGTTTTCAGATGGTTACTACAGTTCTGCATGGAAGTAGACCGTGCGGCCTATCCTAAAAAGGAATAGGGTCCAATCATTGCCGAAGATTTTATTCTTTTCAAATAGCCTTTGAACAGAAGCGTTAGCGATGTCTCATGTGATTGCTTATTATGTAAGGAGGTGGTGTAGTGACAAGTGGCGGGCTTACCACTCGCGCGGTCCTGGGTTCGAATCCCGGGTCGACTCTCGCCCAGGCCAACCAGGCTTCTACCCTCCAATAACCTTTGATTGGTACGAGATTCGTCCCAGAAGATAACGAACATAGACTTGTACACGCGCTGGTCCCCGTAGTCTTTTTTTATGGCGCACAGGGCATTTAGTATTGTAACTCCATCACGGTTCTTGAATGCTGGAAGGCGGCCGCATTTCAAAAAGGGGTTTAATCACGGCGGAAACTTTATTCTTTTTTGTCTGAATCCCCAGACAAGCGTTTCTCAGAATAACCACATTAAATATTCGATTGTGGACATGTCGTCTTCGTTATCGCCCACCGACAAATGCTACGTATGCAAAGTGCGCGACCCTGTGCCTTCCAGGTAAATGTGGTATGCGTTACATCGTAAATTAGATGGGCATTCGGATCAACAACTACCTAGAATGTTCTGCCAGTTTATGCAGGGTATGGTAACCTAGATGTAACGCCCCACATCCCACTACAAATACCACTGAAACCTCAGAAGGTGGTGGGTTTTGATCACACTTTTGTCGTTTCACTAACGGACCACCTAGGTTGCATCACCACCGCTTCCAATCTGTCTCATATGGACAAAATGGTTGTAGTTGATGCTTTCGTTCCGATACAAAGGTGCTTTTTGCTTGGAAATGAGCGGCCCTTCTTCGTTAGCTAACATCATCAGTTTGCCTATTTTCGCCAATTTTTGGCGAAAAGCTTGCTCGACGTTATCTCGCTGGTCCTGCGGAGTCGCTCCTGTGCGCTTGGCCTAAACCTATCGACATCGTGGAGTTTATTGCGTACACACAATTGCGAAATTCACTGCTTGATGAGTGTTTTTGCCGTGTTTATGGCTGAAACGGGCTAAAAACCCAGGTTCAGGGGATTTATTCCATTGTTAGGTTAGTTTGCTTCTATTTCATTCAGACGTGGCTGGGGGTCGTGGGGGTGTGTCTGGATGCTGCAGCGTTGTGTGTGTATGTTGTTGACGCAATGTGGTCAGAGCCGTCGCTGTGATAGAGTTGTTGTCGATGTGGTGTCTGACTAGGCCTCCCCCGGGCCCATCTTGCTAATCTTGCTGCTTAGGTGGACTTTCTTTTCAAAGATTTAAATTTTTTTTGCCTTTTTGGAATGCATTCTGTATTTCAGGACTCGTGATCCCTCTACACTTGAAACTTGTGATATCGTAGTGGATGTTGGTGGAGTGTACGATCATTCGAAGAAGCGCTATGATCACCATCAGAGGTGCATTTTCTGTTCTCTGAGAAACTCTCCGTGCTTTTGGTATAAACGTAGTTGAGAGGCCATGCGGAGTTGCACTTATGTCCCTACATTAGGACTACGTCATACACTGCGTGTAGCGTTTGTGCCTTCAGGCCGTTTGATCCTGATCAGGAACTGTGTGATCCAGCATTTTGAGCGATCAGTGTTTGAACGGCTCACCAGCATCTTATGGAGCGATATATCGATGCCCATACTCAATTAGTCGCCTCGCAACACTGTGTGGTATCAAAAACGCAGTACGTTTCAAAACGCTGGTATCAACGCCTTCATCCCTATGTCCCCCAAAACGCCTGGATAGAATATGTTATACCTCTCCTAGTTCGCTGCGAAACATGGACCGGCATCTCAAAATGCCTGCCGCCAAAGTTTGGACACATTCTAAATAATGCTCCCTATATTAGTACAGCACAGACTCCAGAATCGCCGCCGTTATCCTTCACATCGAAGTAGCAGCGCTGCCTCTTGGCACTTCACTGCGAGTATCATTTTTTTTCATAAGAACTGGGGTGAAGGACTCTCGGTTTTTATTCTCATTTCTTCCGGTGCCAAAGAGTTGGGGAAGAATTGTAATGGCCCATTTTTTGTGCTCGTTTGCGCCCTTTCCTACTGGTAATAATCCCTTCTCGCTTCAGTCTCACTGCAGATTCACCATGAACCCAGGTGGCCAAGGTCGGCGGGGGTCTAGTTCCGCTTCTTCCCCCTCACTTCTCTTATTGTTAGTACCCAGTTCGTGTGTAGCACTTCGTAAAAAGAAGTCTCTAAAAGATTACGTGGTGCATGTGGAAAGTTTTCAAAATATGTGACACCTTCACAGAAAATCACTGCTCTACCGTGCATCTCGTTCCCCTAGGTCTCAGGATATCTGTCAACCGCGAAGCCTTCCTCCTCCTTCCTTTTTCCCTTCCTCCTTCCTTCTTTTTCTTCCTTCCTTCTCTCATCCTTATTTTCCTTCCTCTAAATGCTCGAACAGAAGATGCGATGAGAAATACCTCTGGACCCTCACAGCGAGAGAGCATCCTGTTGACCGATGTCTTGTAACCGTTCCCCTACGGATCTGCATGGGCTTTGATGGTGAGCAGCTGTTTCTATGAACTGGAGCTTTCAGAGAGTTCGATGAAACTATGCAAACTCTACGTGTACTAGATTTCAACACCAAATTGAGCTCTGCAGGCCTGGTATACGTTCATTACGGGAAACAACTCATAGCTGAGGTGATGCTCCTTTCGTTTTCATCAAGTTTCACAAGTTTTTCCTTAGATGAAAATCCAAAAGGGTAACAATATTCGCACCTAACAAGGTACAGTTTGCAGATGCTCGGGACATCTCACGAAGACAAGATGGTGGGCATTTTCTATAGGAAACTATATGAGACATTTGTTGAAGCCATAGATGCAATTGATAACGGGATACCACAATATGATGGAATTCCAAGGTATGGAAATCGTGCTACTGTAGTTGATGTGGCCATGCACGTCAGGTCCTCTGTGACGCTCGACGAGGTCGCATGGGATCTGCTCTTCCGCGCACGCCTAAGGCTAGTCCTGCGTGAGAAAAGGACCACTTGAGCCCATCAACTTCAGTAGTGTCACGATATTCTGCTGACACGCCTTTCTCAAGAACTTTGTGTAATAAATGTTATAGATACCAAACAAGTGGCGGTATTTCCGGGCGGGTAGGCCACCTAAATCCGCACTGGAATGAAGTGGACGTCAATCCTGATGAACGGTTTCTGCAAGCAATGGAACTAATCGGAGGTAATTGTCATACGTCAATGTTTTCAAAAACTTTCTTTATGGATTCCGGTTTCAGGCGAATTCGAAGCCAACGTCTCATATTTGGCTAATGTTTGGTGGCCTGCTCGAGAAATTGTGGAGAAAGCCATAGATGAGGCTCCACAGGCGAGCATTTTGGAAATTTTGTTCATCAGATCTGAGATCTTGCTTTTTTTAAGCTACAGAGCGCGCTTCTGTGTTCCTAGCCTTCCTGTAATATAGTCCATGGTGGCTGTAAGAGTGGGATCGGGCTCATTGCAGTTCCTTCCTTTCTACTGTCCTTCACTAGATAACCTAGATGCTAATGACGGATGTACTAAAGTGGGTCTGACCCCGTCTATACGGAGAAACTGTGCTCTTCGTGAAGAAATGTCTAGCGATGGGGAATGTGCAAAAGTGGGCCTGATCTCTCGCATAACCAGGAACTGTACTTTTTAACTCATTTTACACCATTGTTTGTTGCGTTGCGGCGAATTATTTGTTGACAAAGACGAGTGCAGGCTCTTCAAACTGTTTGTATCAGACACGCCCTTTCTATTGAGAAGTTAATGTTGTTTTTCCTCACGATTATGCTGCAGGTTGACAGCAGCGGACGAATTGTTTATATTTCGTGTGGTGGCGTTCCATGGAAAGAACACTTCTTCCAACTTGAGGAGGAAAAGGGCTTGGTGTCTCGAAGAATGACGTACATAATCTTTGAAGGTGATACTTTCTCACATTGCGACACTTTCGATGTTTCGCTCTCGAAAGGACCTTGATTGGTCATTGCTAAGATAGACGCCACTAACTCTCCATTTTCCTTACGTAAAGATTTGTTCCAAACCATTTTTTTTCATAGATACAACGGCCAAGAAC